GCGGGCCGGGCCGTGCGCCCGCGGGGAGGGCCGGGCCTGTGCGCTGAGAGCCGGGGCGCTGTGCTCCGGGGCTCAGAGCACCGGGGCGCTGTCCAGAGCCTGTGCGCCCGCGGGACGGATCGGCGCAGGGAGGCTCTGAGCTGGGGCGCTGTGATTGGGGGCGCTGCGGGCGGGGATTGGGGCTGTGCGCCAGCGCCGAGCCGAGGCGCTGTGATTAGGGTGCTGCGTGAGGGCCCCGGGCGCCCGTGGGAGGAGTGAGGCTGTGAGCCGGGGGTGCTGTGATCAGGGGCGCTAAAAGTCAGAGGCGGCGTGCAATAGTTTAAAATGCTGTTGGGCTGAGTCGGGGTTGGGGGTCACGGCTTAGCACCCTCTCCAATCCTGTGCCCCGCACTTCCTCCCACCTGGTTCCCTCCGGGGAGACCAGCAGGCGGTATCCTGCTCCCTCCGAGACTCTGCTGACCTGGGCAACATAGGGAGGGCAGAACGCCGGGAGGGCTGGGCTGCCGCTCGCTCGCGTGGCCTGGGCGTCGGAGCGAGGTGCTGGCCCTCTGTTCGGACCTCAGGCTCTGGGAATGATTCCCGGGTCCCCGGGCCCACTCTCCCGGGTGATGGGGCTCAGGAGCTTGAGGCTGCCCTGTCAGACTCGGCAGCCCCTTCGTGCCTCCCATTTAGGTTTCAGGGAAGTAGAAGGAGGTCAGCTGTCAGTTGACCTGTTTGGTTCAGGTCTGCTTGTCATCTGAAGGGAGGGTGGTGATGGACAGACTGGGCAGGAAACGTCCATCGTGGAGGTTCTGCTGGCCACGCTGAGAACAGTTTGTTCTGGAACCACATTCCGTGCTGGCGGGCCGGGCTGCCCAAGGCCGCGCCTACCCGGGCTGGACTTGGGGGCAACTGGATGCAGAGCGCCAAGGCCTCTCACCCGCCCCGTGGGCCGGCCCAGGCCGTGGAACGAGGTCCTGCCTGGGGCACTGCCGAAGAAAGAGGCCTTGGCAGCTGGTGCGACTGCAGCGTCGCCCCCGGGTGTCACTCAGCTCGCGGACCCAGTCTCCCCGCGGTGACCTGTGTGTCCTGCCTCCACCCGCCCGGTGAGGGGGAAGCAAGGCTGAGGAGGGGCCGGGCCTGCTCAGGCATGAGCCTCACTTCAGGCCCCCTCTGCCCTCTTCGCTGGGGGACATGGCCTCCCTCTTGGAGTCCCCACTGCAGAGCGCCACGGCTCACGGAGTTCCTGGGGGAGGGGTCAGTTGGCCTCCAGACTCAGGAGGAAAGAGAACGAGGCTGGGCTCCCACCTGCTGCCTTCAGGCAGCCCAGCGTGCCCAGCTGGTGGCCAGTCGGCCCTTGCGGGCCTTTCTGCTGTGGAGTGTGGGATCCTGTCACCCTGGACCCCAGTCGGATTCATGGTGCAGGGGTTGGGATCCCTCGGCACCTCCCTGTGGCCTGCTTTGCAGCTGCGGGGCTGAGCTGTAGTCTGCTCCACTCCCCACCCCCACCGCGGCGAGGGCAGTGCCCGCACAGGCGCCAACACAGCGTCTGCAGATAGCACAAAACCATTCTGCACTAGGGAGTCAGCCCACAGGACACCCTCGCGGTGCCGGAAGCCCCCACCGCGGGGCAGCCTGCAAACTCGAGGTGGACTCAGCACCGACAGCGCTCAGCCGGCTACCTGCGTGCCGCGCCCCCTGGTGGCAGGAGTCAGCACTGCGCCCTAGGCTCGCGGTTGCGGGAGTCCTGGCTTTCTCCCGAAGGAATTTTCACTCCAGCCTTTTGACAATCAGGGACGGGCCAGGCAGCAGCTCTGACAGCCACCTGCACCCCAGCTTTCTAATACATGGAAGGACACTCCCACTGACTTGCGCCGATGCCAGGACTATGGAATGGGACTGCAGCCTCTGCTACGAGGAGGTGGGCGGTGAGACCGGCAGGACTCCAGCATGCTGGAGGACAGCAGAGGCTTCAGAAAGAGCGAGTTCTGAGCAGGGCTCCATCGTCCCTGGGGCAGGTCCTAGGCAGAGCTGGCCTCTAGTGGAAGCCACGTGCGGATGGCTTTTCAGAACAGAGCTGGTGAGATACAACCTGTCTGATGTGACCCCGCGTCTTTCAAACTGGTGGAGGACCTGCGGCCCCTGCACCCTCATCTAGGGCCAGGTCAGCAGGCCAGGGTGTGCCTTGCCCTGAGGGGAGCGCATTGGAAGCCCCGCTGGAGGTGTGTGCAGAGATCAGTTGTACACGCTGGCTACCAGTTAGGCTTGGGTGCCTGCTCCTCCTCTGCAGCCTATTTCAGCTTCTCCAGCTGAGCAGGGCAAGGGCAGCAGCTCCTTCAGGGGACTGATGAGAACAATGCCTGGGCCATGAGGGGCCTGGGGTGTACGCCTGGCCTTGTCGGGCTAGCCAGGCTGAGCAGAGCCCAGGGACAGGCAGTGCCCACTGGACCCATAGAGCAGGGCCAGCACCACCCAAGGCCTGGTGAGTGCTCTGAACCAGGGACCGGTGGACAGCCCTGTTCCTGATGTAGACACAAACCGAGGTCCAGGAGTACAAGGGGCGGCAGGCTGGCCACTCTTGCTGTCACCCCCATGATGCGCTCGCACTGTGCTTCCCATCTCCCCAACTTTGGGCTCTGCCGAGTAAGGAGCCTTCATATCCCACCGGCAGAAGGCTGACAGCACCCAACTGACCTTCGAGGGGCAATGAGACTTTAAGCTGTCTGGTGGGAAATGACAAATACCGACCACAGTGCTTTATTCATTGCTTTAAATATATTCTGAATATTACCCCATGACTACATTACTGTAATTCATGCGCATCACCCACACTTTCCTTTGCTCTTTTCCCACTGTCTTATTCCAGGGGTGTGGATGGTGACTAATTTTCTAGGAGTCTAAAGGCCACAAGACATGGCTGGCATGATGGGTAGCTGTGTGATGCCAGGTCGGGCACCATGTTGTTGAAAGGGAGATGGGAACGGACACCTGCTGCCCGACTGCAGCAGCTTCAGTCCCTTGCTCAGTTCTGGGAAGGGGTCTAGGGTGAGGTCTGGGCGGCTGCGGCGGCTGTCCGCAGTCCTGTCCTCGGCTCGCCCAGCTTTCACTCTCCGCGCGAACTTTCTCTCCCGTGGTGTATCTGACCAAAGCCTGCCGAGTAAACTGTCTAGGCAAGGACAGCCTAGGTGGACACATCGCCGCACGGCCACCCGGAGGGGGAAGAGACCCTGCCAAGCTGCGCTGCTGCTTGGGGGCGAAGCGGAGTCTCAGCGCGGCGGGGAGGACGGAGGGGCAGATGTCCCTGCACGCGCAGCTGCAGGCCTGCAGCGCCGCTATAAGGACTGTGGCAAGGCCGAGGCGGAACGGGGCAGTTCACTGGGGTCGTGGGTGGCCGCTGCTGGGGTCGGCTGGCTGCCGGGGCAGCCGCGCCTGGGCCTGCAGGGTCTGCTCGTACTTCTGGAGTTGAGACCAGAAACCCGGGTTGGGTTCGGCTACCGGACGGGCGTTCTTCACGGTCTGCAAGTGAGTGGCATAG